AATATGTATTGAATCTGATCTTACCTCTCTGCATGTCCTGCTCTTTCCATGCCACAGTATCTCTGGAATACAGGGGCCACTTCCTACTCTTGCCTCCAGGAATCCCAGACTGTCTTCATCTTGCAAGAACCTGTCACAGGCTTCTCAGATGCCTTCACTAGCTTTCCATTTCACTCTAATGGAACGCCAAGTCCTTCTTAGTCCTCTCTCGCCACGTCCTAGCAACTTCCAGGAAACGCCTGTCACTCTCCCCTTTATTGGCTTCACACTGGCTGCCTCGTTCAAAGGATTTGACTTTTCCGCTTGGAGACTTCCCTAACAGGATTTACACGGCATACTCTGTGATGCAGGGCGCACTGAGTGCTCTCTCAAGAGGGCCTTCCCGGTGACCTGCTGACTTCCCATGCAACCTAAGTCAGAAGCTCATTTATTAGTTAAAGGGGGACCTGTAGGGCCCTGGCCCCCGGTTTTGGATAACTGTGGCCTTGCTTGCTGACCTTGACCTTGATATCCTCCCTATGCTAATTCCCTCCAGGTTTCACCCTCCTGAATGCTTAAGGGAAGTTCCTTGTCTGTGTATCCACATAATGGGCGTTAACAGCTTCGATGCAAGATTGTAAAACATCTGTAGTGAACTTCTGCCCTCTGGGGTTCTCCCATTGTGCTGTAAGCCTGTATTTAAGGCCTCCTTCAATAAACTGGCATTCGGCATTAAAAAAAAAAAAAAAAAGAGGGCCTTCCCGACCACAGTCTAACTAGATGCCTCCTGTCTAGCCACGCCTCTAGTCTTTCACCTGGCTTTGTTTCCTACAACGACATTTACATGGTTCTGACCAGATCCCACAGCCTGAAGAGATGAGGCAATGCCTCCCTGGGACAGGCAGCCAGACACTGTCAGTACTGCCCTAACTGGTATCTGGCTCTTCCATGTGCTATGGTAAACTCAATCATGTGGTGTTAAACCTCCCACCACCTCCTAGAAGCTTGTGGATAGCACCCTCTTTGTTCTGGGGACTGCTATAGTGATTTTTCACCTGGCCTCTTACCCCTCCCACTCCCTCCTGCCTCCCCTTTTTAAAAAAGATTTATTTATGTATGAGTGCGCTATCTGCATGTACACCTTTAGGCCAGAAGAGGGCATCAGACTCCACTATAGATGGTTGTGAGCCACTATGTTTTTTGCTGGGAATTGAACTCAGTACCTCTGGAAGAACAGACAGTACTCTTAACCACTGAGCCATCTCTCCAGTCCCCTTCCCTCTTATTCTTACTCTTTTGTTTTTTTGAGATGGGGTCTCTCTATATAGTCCTGACTGTCCTGGAACTCGCTATGTAGACCAGGCTGACCTTGAATTTGCAGAGATCTGGCTGCTTCTGCCTGCCTGAGTGCTGGGATTAAAGGCGTGCACCACTGCCCGGCTTTTTTCTTACTCTTAATAAACCACTTCTCTAGGTTTCTAAGGCACCCTTCACATTTGTACTTATGTGCATGTGCACAAGCACATGTATGCACATACACACGTATTTTCTTTCTTTCTTTTAATGACTAACTGGTGTTTTGCCATGAGTGTTGGGTTCCCTGAAACTGGAATTACAAACAGTTGTTAGCTGCCATTCAGGTGTTGGGAATTGAACCCAGGTCCTCTGGGAGAGCAGTCAGTGCTCTTAACTACCGAGCCATCTCTCAGCTCCACCATTTTCTTTCTAATGCTCTCCCTATCACTTCACGGCCTGATCTTGGTCTTGAGACCCTCCTAATAAACCTCATTCCTGAAGAGTAATTCTATGCCGGCTTCCTTTTCTGAGCCGACCACTGCATTAATACACTGAACATTTTCCACTTAGTGTTATACATGTGAACACCTCTCGCCGCAGTGGAGGCCACAGGCATATTTGCTTGCAGTCTGTGGTGGAAACACAACAGTGTTGGATACTCAAATTCCATTGAACACATCCCTGTTGTTTTTGTAGGCTATGCTGGCCTGAAATTTGATAGGCATGAACTCTTAATCCTTCTGCCTTTATACTTCCTGAGGGCTGAGATCATAGCTGTGGGCTACCATACCTCATCTATGTGTTGTTGGAGATTGAATTCAGGGCTTTGTGTGTGCTAAGAAAACAGTCTATCAACTGAGCTACATTCCCAGCCCTGGCCTGGAACTCTTGATCCTCCTGCTTTAGCCTCCCAAGTTCTGAGGCTACAGGTGTGTATTGCCACACCTGACCACATTATTGCTTTTGCTTAGGTACAGCCTTCCACAACCATGGTCCCTTGCCTGTGCTCTACTTACAAAGAGAAGCTCATTGCAAATTTCAAACTACTACCCTCCCCACCCTTCCCCAGACTCCAGTACAATACAACTGAACATGGGTAGTTCTACAAAAAGGGGCTTCAGGAGAATGCCCACATCTTTTAGACAAAATAGTTGCTCACACACTTGGCAGAAACTCTTTCAAACAATAGTATCATATACACTTTTCTAGTTATGTCAGAAAGGAACCTGTGCCGGGCGGTGGTGGCACACGCCTTTAGTCCTAGCACTCGGGAGGCAGAGCCAGGTGAATCTCTGTGAGTTCGAGGCCAGCCTGGGCTACCAAGTGAGTTCCAGGAAAGGCGCAAAGCTACACAGAGAAACCCTGTCTCAAAAAACCA